CAGGCAGACACAGCAGTTATAAGCTGTTATAGAGCGAAATCAGTGGACGGGCACGCACTGCTGGGGGGCCCTGCGTGATTATGGGCCNCACGTCGTCGAGATTAGCAATAATTGAAAATCCGGCAACCGCAATAATCAAATTCCTGGCAACAACTGTGGTCGGAACCAAAGTTCACAGGTCTGTGTTCTCTGAACTGTTCTCAAGCGCTGGACGTCTTCATTCTGATTGGTTGCCGCTGAACCGCATCATAGCTCATTACCATAAAGTTGACTTGATTTCAAGTCCTCCTCAACGTCCACACCGGAGAAGACGCGCCGCGCTGCTCCTCGCCACCGGTTCTCATTGAAAAAGTATGACTTCCGGCTACTTTGACGCTCTCGCCGCTTGTTTGTGAACGCTACCCCCCCATCATCGCTCCACCCCGACCCCCTTTCCCGCTCATCAATTTAAAATCACTTCCTCGCATCGTCGCTCCACCGACTCTCCCCGTCCCATTAGTTTGTGATCGCTCCCCCCAGTCTCTCCCACACAGACACAGAACAGACGTCTAGGAGACGCGACCCTGCTGTAGACATCTACACTGAGCAGTTCATCTCTCCTGCTAAATGGATCACTTTTGCTTCACTCATCCTCCTTCAGCTTAGTCCCTATATCCATCAGGGGTGGCCACAGCAGAATGAACCGCCAACTATTCCAGCATATGTTTTACACAGCAGATGCCCTTCCAGCTGCAACCCATCACTGGGAAACACCCTTACACAATCATTCTCACACACACACATACACTTCTGTCAGTGTAGTTGATCAGTTCCCCTATAGCGCATGTGTTTGGACTGTGGGGGAAACCAGAGCACCCGGAGGAAACCCACACCAACACGGGGAGAACATGCAAACTCCACACAGAAACACCAACTGACCCAGCCGAGACTCAAACCGGTGACCTGAGTGCTGAGGACACAGTGCTACACCACTGAGACACCGTGTCGCCCACCTCATGCTTCAGTTTGCCATCAAATCTCCTGACCAATCAGATGCTCTCTAGTGTCTGACATGCCCCGCCCCGTTCATGACGCTCCACTCATCCTGTCAAATGATAATATTCACATCATCACAGCATATCCTGCAGAAACACAGCGGGTCTGAATGGCAGTGTGTGTGTGTGTGTGTGTGTGTGTGTGTGTGTGTGATAGCGCAGTTTACACTCTTATTGAGTCAAGGGGATCTCTTATGAAGCCACTTTTACACACACAGCTTCAGTTCTGCACACACACACTGTTCATCTCACACACCCAGACACACACACACACACGTTTGTTTTTGTGAAAAGTGGGGACATTACATAGGTTTCCATTCATTTTATACTGTCCAAACCGTATATTATATTGCCCTCACCCCACCCCACCCCTAAACCCAACCATCACAGCAGACTGTGTGCAGCTTTACTCTTAAAGAGATTTATAAGCATTTTGAGAAATGAGGAATGATGTCCTCATACTTCACCTCCTTTTTGTAATAGCTGTGTCATACCCATGTCATTATACAGATCAGTGTCCTGATATGTCACAAAAACACGTACACACACACTCACACACAAATACTTTTTATAACACTCTTCATCTTATAAACACTCATCTCTTTCACACACACACACACGCACGCACGCACGCACGCACGCACACACACACACACACACACACATTCTATAACAAACACACATACTTTTCCTCTCACACACTGTCTCCCTCAGTTGAATGTAGATGTGTGTATCGCCAAAGCATTCTCAGTGTTTACATTAATCGGATCCTCTGAACACACACACACACACACACCGCAGTGGCGGAGATAAGACTGTGATAATAATATAATAATAATACAGCACTAATAATCAGCATATCTGACATTTCACCGAACATTTCAGGATTCATTTATAACAGTCTAGATTCAGGGCGCGCGCGCGTGTGTGTGCGCGTGTGTGTGTGTGTGTGAGAGCGTCTCTTTCACTCTCTCTGTCTGACACACACGGCGCGTGCGCTCGGCGGTATTCGCGCTGTTTCCCGGTACCGGCGCGCTGTTGTTCTGTTGCCCGTGATCCGGGCTCCGGTTCCGGCATGTTCGACGCCAGCGTTTGGCGGATCCGGAGCATCCGGGAGTCCGTGAGACTCGAGATTCACGACGAACCGAATCCTGCGGTGCTGAACCGATTCACTCAGCTGGACCCGGACGCGCC